AGTGTCATTTAATTTCCTGGTAAATCGTACATGCTAAAAACACTTAGTTCTTAAAATACCATACTTATAAGCCAGAGAGCAGATATACCCCTAAAAGAGGTGTGTGTGTGTGTGTGTGTGTGTGTGTGTGTGTGTGTGTGAGAGAGAGAGAGAGAGAGAGAGAGAGAGAGAGAGAGAGAGAGAGAGAGGTTGGTCAAGCCTCAGAACACATTATAACCATCTTCTATGCCCAACATTTTCATGAAATTCTTTTATCTCTGGAAAAACATGGGTATACAAGGCTCTACTTTTCATTCTATTTTTGCAAAGGGCATGTTACAGTTCTGCAAAACAGCTTCAAATACTTGCCAAGGAAAGTAAATTACAGTAGGAATGGGTGATAATTATTAGGAACTTATTTTTGGAATAAGAAACCTTTCTTAATAAAGAGCTATGTTGCCCTCTGAAAGGAACAGAGAATTTCCCCCAAAGTCAAAAACGCATTTTGAATAGTTCATGCACATATCCTGTGGGGATTAAATTAGGTTACCATGTATTCCCAAAAACCAAATCCAAGCTGTGTTCAACCATGGATTACAAGGAACACTGTGAGAAAGCAAATTTGAATTCTTTGAACACACTAATTCAAAGTTCCTATTTGGTCTGTTTTTGAAGCAGAGTTTGATGGCTTGAAGGATTCGAATCTTTCTATAAGACAGGTAGATACAAAGTATGTTTAAGAAGACCTAATTGAAAAAGTTGACTAGATAAAAAAAAATTTACTAAACAGGGTAAGCATCTTCCTATAAGGTATTCTGGAGAGCTTTTAGAAGACTAATAAGTATGAAGCTGAAACAAAATTACTTACTTTGGCTTCCATCTTTTTGTGACTTTGTTCTCTAAAGAAATCAGAATTAAAGATAAGAATGCCTTGTGACCCTAATTATAATAACTGTAACATTTAGTTGTAATTTTAAGACTGTTTTCACAGAGTTGATGTAAAGGAAAACTCGGGGTAAATTCATTTCAAAAGAACTGAGTATAAAGAAACCCAGTATAAGAAGAGTCTGAGCTCAGTCAAGGAGGTGCCCAGCCACAGAGATAAAGATTTTTGATTTGCTTTTGTTTTTCTTTGATACTAATACAGAATTTGGATTCTGTATTTATTCCATACCAGGCATGGATTATTTAAAAATTAATTGTGCGTTTGAAAAAATACAAGTGAACAGAAAGCAAACCACAAAATTAATGTCATTGAGCAAACATCTAACAGTGTTCTTTCCTGTTCTGGAATGCTTACTCAGTGCTATCATCCCGTGAGATTCCCCTGTAATGTTTGATACATTAGGTTGAGTGAGACTTTGCTGCGTTACTTGTCCTTGTCAGGTCACTGTACCCTGTCTCACTAAAGGGCCATTAAGGAAAAGAAAAGGGAAATGGAGATCTGGGACTTTTTTTTTTTTCCTCATTATGTAACCCCCTGCAGCCATTCTGGGTTAAGACTGTGTTTATTTAAACCACAGTCAAATGGGTCATTTTTATAAACTGATGGGTAGAATGAATTTCTCTTGGTGTTCCCCTGGGTCATTCACCAAGCTGTAATATCACCAGTAGTTACTGATACCCTGGGAATAGCAGCTTAATTACACAGAAATTTAAAATCAAGAATAGTGGCATGAGTGCAAACATAGAAACTTGTCCTGTCTTTGGGTGGTTTGTTATTGAATTTAATGCCTCAGACAGTCTTTTTTTGTACAGATTTTAATTGCTAAATAGGTCTGGTAAAATATGAATTATTGTATTATTACAAGTGATAAAATGTATATGGTTATGAGCGTTGTATTCTACAGGTGTAACATACATAAAGCAAGATTAATAGTATCAAGCAATTAAGCTGAAGCTATCTTTAAGGGGAAGGGGTTTAATGCTACCCTTAAGTGTAACTTAAACTCTCACTAAATATTTTTAACTGCAATAAAAGCATGTTAATTGTGGGAGTGACTTCTTTACAAGACTCATTTCTTAGAGTGAGTTTTGCTTTCTAAGAATATAAAAGCTTACTGAAATAATTTATATTAGTAGCTCATTCCATAAAGAGCTGAATTTTTTTTTTTTTTTTTGGCTTTTAAGCTCAATGAAGAAAGCCCAAAATAGCACAGGAAATTTTGTGTGTTGTGAATATATGTATGAACTAAATCCAATTGGGATAAAAATGATTAAATTATTGATAAGGTCATTGTTGGTTCCCAAAGCGTTCCATTAGTCATATACTTCTTCTTAAATATTTTGAGGGTTTGGCCTTAATGTTCTTATAATTGCAAATAAAATAGAAGAAACTGCATTTTATTTCAATATTCTTGCATGCACAACTTATTAACAGTCTTATGTAAAAGTGACATGCCAGGCATCTAATAATATATTTTTTTCTTATGTGTTTCACGTGTTTCTGTGTTTTTTTCTACTTCCTGGGTTTTTTTTTTTTCCACCACCTACAGGATCGATGCCCGTACTTCTAAATTAGCTATGCTTTTGCCTCTCAGTAGCATGGCAGGTGGCTTTACGGTGTGGTTAACAAGAGTTTGGTAAAGGCATAAAGCACTTAGCGAAGTGTATAGTGCTCATTATAGAGAACTTTCTGTATTTCTCTCTTTTTCTGTTTCCCAAGTCACGAACTCAGGAACTCAAATGCAGACACAGATTTTGGTCTTTGCCCTGGAATTATGTAGCAGAATACTTGGCAAGGTAAAACTTCAAGAGTGAAGCAAGGTGAAACATTCATAAAGCAGCACATCATAGATTACACATTAAATATAAAAATACTAAAGAATTGCATTCTGTGTAGTTTTGAAGATAGTAAACATGTGAACAGTTTGACAGTTTTATTCAGTGTGGATTTCTAGATGTTTGCAGTTCACCCTTCTGACAGTGCCACAGGGGAGATTGCTGCCTACATTTCTGCAAGGTCATTTTTAAGCTGAGTTAATACAACCCCTAACCAGCAGAAAGATTGCAAGAGAAGTTTGAGCAGTATCTGGGCATTTTGTTTTCCTTGTGAAAATAAGTATATAAATTCTTCCTAAGAAATAGACTCCTTTGTTTCTTTTTCTTCTTCTTCTTTTCTTTGCTCTTGAAGCACTGTGATAAAACCAAAGATGCGACTGAACTGTGGAGGGCAGTCGTACTGTATCCCCACCCATGATTGTGTTAACCTTCATTCGTTCGATTCATTGATGGGGTTTTCTTCCAGTTGTGTCCATGGAATTAACTGTGAGCAGTCCCTTTCTGGATGTTTCAGTCTTGTAAGAATGCAGGCATGTCTCAGCCCCAAATTCCACGAACAGGTGCTCAAATGGTGTCTTCCGTGCACTTCTTGTGTTGCCTGTCTCTGCTTGTGGCCTGTCTCTGCTTCCCTGACGCTCTTTGCAAGACTGGGTAATTCTTTGTAATTAAGACTAGCAACCTATTTAGTTGAGAGATATTTGTGTGCTTCTTGGAATAGTAAATATTAGCATTTGTAATTTGAAAGAATTAGAAGTGTGTGGAGAAGTAATTTTTTTCCTAAGCCACATAAACGTAGACATTAGACAAAAATATATTTTGTGTTAGTCACCCCTCATTTTAACAATGGAGCAAAAATGTAAAGGTAGATAAAAATTGTGAAAGATACTGTAACATTTTTTAAAAGATAAATGTTACTTAGGCATTTAGATTTTTTCCTGAAAAATTAAAAGTAATTGATGTTGTTGAAAATACAATGTAATTATTCTGCTGATTAATTTGATAATGTGAATAAAGAAACTTAAGAATTTGATCTCCTGGTTCCCGTTTAAACTGTGATACATATTTATGATTATACACTATTTTGTCACAGCTTTCATTTCTCCTTAAATATAATACTCCCTGAGGAAAGTATATGAATTTTTTTGTTGTTGTTGCCTCACTTTAACCCCACAGATGGTTATGTTTGGTTTCAAATTTTATAAAGAAGTAGCATCTTTTAACTAATTTTTAAAGAATTTATTCTCTTCTGTACTATTTGGTAGTACTAGAAATACGAAATTTTTCATTCTTCACTATCTGCCAGAATCACATAGAATTCTAGCTGAAAATCTTAGAGGAATCTTATATGAGGAAATTGTGATCATGTTATATAAAGTTAGAAATAAATAGATAAAAATATGTCAAACTAAATTATTTTTATTTTTTTTTACAAGAATTAGATATGCATAGTTTAGTTAACCTTTACTGAAAGTCTAAAGTATCAGGTACAATGTACAGTTACATGCAGATGTTGTTCAGTATACTTATTAGCTGCTTCTGCCTGCTCTGTGGTGTAGAGAACTCATTTTCCTGACCATAGAAGTAAGTGTGGAAAATGCCCCTAGACAGATGGCCTTAGCTGATCAGGCATATCTAGTCTAAAACTAACACATGAAGTATGGCTGTATATTTCATTTAAAATAACTATCTATGCTTGACCAAAAAAAGAGTAGACATCGCTGTTTTTTTCTCACATTTAATTTTAAAATAGATTATTTTAAACAAGAGTGTAATGTGAGAATGTAGTTTTCTAAGTTTGTCTACAATATTTGTCACATAAACATGTGCAAAAGGCCAGTTAACAACAGAAAATCAGTAGAGACCATGAAATTTTGGAAAATTATATTTTTAACTAATAGCCTTACGTGTGAAGCAACTACCAGACTACATACATTCATTTTCCTTTACATCTTGGGGATTGTGACATCTATAAACAGTGAAAGATTTCTACTTTTTCAGGCATAATACTTTTGTTTTATACATGTGGGATAAAGTTTAATGATTATGGCTCAGTTACAGAATTGTAAAATTCATTTGAAAGCTTAAAACTTAGATTTTACTGTATTATATTTTTGGTATAGAATATTTGCTCACTGTGTTCAGTTCATACGTTGTAATTTTTTGGCACAGTTACTTGAGAAAATGATCATTCTTCTGCTCTCAAAAGTGCTGTTTTCCGACTGTGTGTTGTTCCCCTGCAGACGGTGGGTGCGGCTGCTCTTTGGACGAGAGTTCCCCCTGCAGGACCTGCTAGTGGTCTGGGACGCCTTGTTTGCTGACGGCCTCAGCCTGAGCCTTGTCGATTACATCTTCGTAGCCATGCTGCTCTACATCCGAGATGCGCGTAAGTGTCCATGACCTTGCTCGTTTTTGACTAGGCGGTCTTGGTTTTTTAAAATACTCTGCCTTCTTAATATTCTGGGCATCTTATTACATGATTGACATATACCTAGGTTTTCATAGTAGGCAATATATTGAAATTTCAAAAGAATACACAAAATATCTTTTTTGTTAGTTAACTATGTACATATTGGGAAAAGTGGGTGATCTTATCCTGAGAGAACTGGAATATTCTTCAGAGCCATTTTTCTAAAGACTTTTCTCCTGCTTTAATCTCCTCATTGCACATATTTGTGAAATGCATGTATAAAAGTCAGTGTTTCAGATATGTTTAGAGCTCCACCTTCTGACAGGTAGGGAGCATTCAAAGCTGTATATCGGGAGATCGGGGCTGTCTTTATAGCGCCAATATAATTTAAAGGTATTTTAACTTCTTCCCCATTATATTTTAGCAAAATATCTCTCAACACAATGCCTGATGGTAGCTGTGTCCCCGACTCCTTCTATACACGTTTGGTGCTTGCCACAGCCAGAAAACAAGTGCCTGTGCATTTTAAATAGTCTGACAGACCTCAGCTTGAAGAACATCCCAGAGCATGCTTCAGATTTCAAAAGGCTTCAAATTGTTTTTTTTCTCTGAAAAATAATCAGAAGCTCACAAAATAAAATTTATAAGCCAACGTATAATGAGAAAAGATTGCACAAAGTGATGTGATTGAATTAGGAAGTAGAAAATTATCATAAGAGTAGGACTTTGTCAGAAGCACATATACTATTTGGTGGCATTCCTATTCATAACTGTTAAATTGCTATGGGGTCGCTTTATTTGTTTATTGACTACCAGTTATGCCAGATGCTCCTATGCCTCTGGTAACACTAATATTCTTTAAAATTCCAGATTACCCTTTTTAAATTCTCCCAAAATTACTTAGAATAAATAAGTGACAGGAGTACCACATTTTGTTCAAAAATAGTGGATGTTTTTCTGTGCCTTAAAGGTCAACTAGTTTGGATTTTGACAGACTGAGTGAGGGTTCCTTCCCTCTGAGCCAGAACTAATCATGTAGGAACATGGAAATCATAAGAGGAAACATCTGGAAAGTAGAGAAGGATGCTTGGGTAGATTTGATGGATTCTGGATTTTAGGATATTCAATACTCATCTCCCTTTTAAAGTTGTGTTTGTTTTCATGTAAGTAATAAAAAACAAAAGGAATGAGAAATCTCTTTTAGGAAATAACACTTTCCAAATCAAACAACTACTGAAATGTATGATGATTTTCTGTCATTGTAAAGAATTTAAAATTTTCTGTTTTATCTAAAACATTGGTGCATTACCACTGTATATTTTTAAATGTAATCATTGTGTGTAGTATTCTAAAAACCAACTCTTAATTTTTTAAACCATGGTAAATTTTTGGCAGCTGAAGTCCTTACACATTCTTAATCTTTTCACTGATGACTTTATAAAACATGTAGAAAAATGCAGAAGTAATGAAGTTATTTATTCATTTCAATTTTCAGTCCAACTTCTTTCAGTTTTGTTGGTTAAGTTCATAACTTAACCAGTGGATACACTCTCCTAAAAATAGAATAGATATTTGTTAGGTATTTAAGGTCCACTGCTCCTGTCCTCAAGACACTTATTAACTAATAAGGAAGACTGACATATAAATCGTTTCAGACTAACATATGTGGTGCTATAGTTGAGATGTGGACTAGTATGAAAACGTAAAGGAAGGTACTCAGCACCCTCTGGACCACCTGTGAGTCTAAGGAGATTGCATGGGTGTTGGCAAGCCAGGTGCAGCATCTGTATTCCAGGCAGAAGGAACAGCATGAACAGAGGCCTGAAAGTGAAAAACAGCTTAACAGGTGTGTGTGTATGTGTGTGTGTGTGTGTGTGTGTATGTTTCTACAGCTATTTGGCATTTTTAGAGTACAGAGGGAGAGAGAAGTCAGTAGGTTACGAGACTACAGAAGTGACCAGGAGAGATCATGTTGAAAATCTTCCTATAAGTGATGAGGAGCTATCAAAAGACTCGAGGCAGAACACCACTCTACAGCGATGGGGGAAATGAACTTGAAGGAGACAAGGCTAGAGCAAGAAAATCAGATGGGAAGTCATGACACTAGTTCAGGGAAAACACAGTGGATTGGAGAGGTATTCAGAGCTAAAGTTAGCATGACTTAGTAAATGTGGTTAGAAAGAGAAAATGGGAAGTCTAGAACAACCCCCAGCTTGGAGCCTAAAAAAATAAAGATTAGCAGACTTTAGGAATATAAATGATTAATTGAGTTTTGGCCATGTTGAGTTTGAGATACCTATAAGAAGTTATAACTTGAAGATTTGAAAGACAAAGCTACACGTCACTATCAAGGCCAATGGCTTAATTTTGCAAATAACTAACAGGTATGTGTTACTGAAAACCATAACAGCAGATGCTGCTTCCTAAGAACAGGGCAGCCATATATCATAGCTGTGTGGGATAGTCTTCGTTTATACCTTCCTGCCCTTTTTCACACTCAAAGGCATCACGTAAGGATCATAACAGTTGCATGGTTCCCTACCCAAGGTGGGTCCATGCAGAAAGAGATGGACAGAGGTGGACTCTGGCTTAGCATAGGGGAGGCACCATGCAGGAAGAGCCCGGAGAGCTGTTCTGTGAGAGCCTGGGGCAGGGGCCAGGAGTACAGAGGCACAATGGGCAAGGCTGCAAAAGTCCTCTCAGCTTTGACATTGTGCAGGGATGGTCACTGGATACCCTCTCCAGCCTGAATCCAGTGGAAGGGCAGGGCAGGAGCTGGGTGATGGTAGGTAGAAGAGAGCCTGGACAACTCAATACAGTAGCCTTTTCTTCAGCTTTCTTATTTTCTTAAGGTATGCATTACTTTTCAACTAAAAAGGCAACTAAGAAAAACAGAATCTGGAGATGGCATGTGTGAAGGGGACTCTGAAGCAGGTTGCTGGGCGGGGAGGACGGAGGCACAGCTAGAGGGCAGCTGGGACAGGGGAGGCTGCTGGCTGTCTCAGAGCAGGGCCAGGCATGTGGAGGCAGCTGGAACTGAGGGAGGCTTCTTCTCGGGGCAATCTGGGCTCCTGCTTCAAGGATCAGCACAAGTTTTTCCCCCCGTTAGGTCTGAATAGCGTCGTCAGCCTTCAGGCTAGGCCTGTCTTCAAATGGGTTGGGCAAGACTGAAGGAAGACAGTAGTAGAGGGCTGTTCCATGCATTTTAGGGCCAGGGTTAGGGTGTGTGAAGGGGAGAAAAACAGGAGGGAGAAGCAGAGTATCGAGGGCTTAGAGGCAGGGCCTGAGAGGGCTACAAGCAAGAAAGATGTGGGCAGACAAGAGGACACGGAGCACTCCGGGTCTGACGAGTGTGGCTGATGTAAGTTGCTTAGAAGACGACGGGCTTGTGAGGAAGCCGAGCTTTTGTTTGGTTCTCCGTGGACAACTCACCAGGGATCATCACAGGAAAAGATATGGAGAGAAATGTCACACGCCGGGCACCAAACCTCAAATAAACATGGAAGAGGGACCAAGAAACAGCTTTTATTCAGTCCTTTACTCAAACACTCGACCATTCAGCCAGTGTCTGCCAGTCATCGTGGTGGATAGATGGCTGTGATGAAGGGCCTGCTGGAGGCACAGGTGCATGGCTTGAGCTTCAGAGGCAGGGGGCTCTTATGGAAAGAGAGGACGTGATGGCATGGAAGCAGGACTAGGAGCAAGGCGCCCACCCCGCATCTGGAGGCCACAGCATCAGCAGTGGCTCTGGAAAGGCGAGACTTGGGCAAAAGACATTGTTCCTCAGAGAAGGGGGCTGAACTGGAGGAGCACAGCAGGAAGAGGGGACCGAGGACAGGACTGTACATGGTGCATGTGTGGAGGGCGGGGTACGTCAGCTGAGCTACAGCCCTATTGGAGAGCCGGCTGAAAGATGAACCGTTTGCAGCCTTGGCATCCTACCAGGTCACTGGTGTTCAGCTTTTGTCCCATGCCTGTGGATTCTCACCCACGATGCCCTGCTGGGGCACGCCAAGCACAATGTTCAGTTATGCTCGGTAGTTCCAGCCTCATTCACGTGAAGGTGTTCACTGGGCACCACTACCCAAGGCTCTGGGCACGAGAGCCTGTGTTCTTTCGGAGCTGTGTTTGTAGCTCAGAGAGCGTTTCACCTGAGGGGAACTGAGAGAACCTTGCTCAGGGATGGCATTCCCTGCTGGGGTCCCTGTCTCCTGGGGATTCACCGCATGGGCTTTAGAGGCTCTGACCATCCTGATACTGTGCAAAACATTGGTAGGTGTGCATTTCTTTTGGTCAAGTGTCTGTAGTTGTCACCATTTTCTCAGAGGCATACACAACCTAAAAAATGGCTTTCACTGCATCTAACCCAAAATTCTGATTTGATTTTCAAGGCACAGTAATGAGGTCTGCATCCTTTGAAGTTGTAACCTCCAAAAAGATACATTGGAGTCCTAACTTATAGTGCCTCAGAATGTGACCTAATTTGGGAATCAAGTGTTGCAAATGTAATTAGTGAAGATGAGGTCACATTAATTTAGTGTGACTGGTGGCCTCAGAAGAAGGGAGCGTGGGCACAGACATGCACAGAAGAAAGACAATGTGAAGACACACAGGGAGGAGAAAGCCACGTGAAAACACGCAGAGATTGGAGTGACACGTCTGCAAGGCAGGGAAGGATGAGGATCCCCCGCCGTCACCAGGAACCAGGAGAGAGGTACGGAGCAGATTCCTTCCCAGAGTCCTCCAGGAGCAAACTCTGCCAGTATCAGAAGCTGGAAGACTCCAGGAAGGACACCTGCAAGCTTCAGAGGACGGCTGTCCTGCCAACCCCTGGATGTTGGGCTTCTAGCCTCCAGAGCCGTGAGATGACACATTTCTGCCTTAAGCCACCCACTTGTTGGTACTTCCCTAAGTTTTATGGATTAAAATTATATGCAAAAAGAAACTGGCTGACCACATGCAGAAGATTGAAATAG